CAGGTAGTGTTGTTTTGTAACCAACCGGTGATACAGTCCTCACAAAATTTCTGCAGACAACACGGGGTAGTCATTGGACAGCAAAATATGTCCCGACATATATTGCACGTGTATTCAGACTTTTCCACTTCCGATAAATTTGGAAACCTGGAAACATCGTATCCAGGCATTTTTCAAATCTATAATTATATATAAATAATATATGTTATTATAATATAATTTGTCAAGTTTACAATACTTACTTAAAAATATCGGAGATTAAATTGGCTATTATTGACCAACTACAATATAACTATTAATAATTGTTATTCTTAATAACAATTTAATATTTAGATTAAAATATTTAATGTGTCATTTAAAATTTAATGCGTATTTACCAATGTATAAATAATAATAATAATATATCACTTTATTATTAACTAATAAGTACTATATTTCAATGTCATACATAAACAATATTGACACAAAAGTCATTTGGTGTCAATATTTACTTTATTATTTTCATAATATTTATATTGAATCTGAAATAATGTACATGTTGCTCCTACTTGTATAATCATAATAAAAATTTTGAACATTTATTATTAGAAATTAGTAATTTATAAATTTACATTAATGTAAGCTCCGGTTATTAACTTTTGTTGGATAAACAATAGATATATAAATATTATATAATGCAATCGACAATAATTATAGAAATAATTAAAATATATAATATAGACGAATCATTAAATAAAAGTCAAAATTATTTTAATCAAAATTTTACTTTTTTTTGTTGTGTCGACGATCTGAAATCGATGGTAAGTCTACTAATCAGTTGGACAACTGTATTATTGACAGGAGGTGTTGGCGACTACCGGACAGGTGTCTCGTTTGAAGGCGGCGTCACATCAAACACACACTTTAGCTTTGAAGTCATAATAGCTTCCGGATTCACGCCTTCCCAGAGTGTCTCCTGATTGACGGCCCCCTCGGGCGCGAACATCGTCTGCACCATAAACTTGTGCTTATTTTTGCCGATCAAGTTATCTATGTATACGGGTTGTAGGCTAACAGCGATGGTTACGGTGCCGAATGACTCGATGAGTCCCATATGTTTGGTCGGACGGAATACCTCTTGGGGGCCGTCGTCTTCACTTTGAAACATACGCGCCGTTCGCACGGATTCCTCAGCTTTAGGTACGGTAATCATAATTAGCATAATTATATAGCCACTACAGTGACTTCTGGACGTTTCCTGGATAGTTTTTATAAATTAATCTTTGTCACTTTTCAACTCTCTCACCGTTCGCGTTAACAAATCTGTTTCGTCATTCGCGCTACATTTAGCCTCCAGTATTGCGTCCACGCAGTCGTGATCACGTGTTTTGTCACAATAGCATACGTCACACGTTTTCGGAAGGTTTGCCTCATTGTGCTCACAGATGGCGGTGTGTTGTATGAGGTCCTCAAGTTTGACCACTTTTCGGCAGCCCTTATCCCAAAAGTCACATTTAATGTTTAGATTTTCTAACATATTTGCTAGGACCCTGGTAAAAATATTTAAATTATTATTATATTTAGAAATGATGTTGATAATTTTAATAAATTTATATTTATTTAAAATTTACATACTTAGGAAATGACACATAATAAAATATCTACATTACCTTGACGCTCGTGTTAATTTATCCAGAGATAAGCTATTTCTATCATAAGGACAGGTAGTGTTGTTTTGTAACCAACCGGTGATACAGTCCTCACAAAATTTCTGCAGACAACACGGGGTAGTCATTGGACAGCAAAATATGTCCCGACATATACTGCACGTGTATTCAGACTTTTCCATTTCCGATAAATTTGGAAACCTCGATACATCGTACCCAGGCATGTTTTCAACATAAGTTCGTCGTGACTATATTTAAATAATTTATTTTATTATAAAATTATTTGTTTAAGATTATTATACTTACTTTGAAATATCCGAGATTTAATTGATTATTATAGATACACTATAACCATTAATAATTTGCAGTCTAAATAACAATTTAATATTATAATTATAATATTTAACGTTTTATTAACATATAACGCAAATAATGAATGTATTTCACTTTATTAGTATTAGATACGCGTTTTAATCTCATTGATAAATAAAATTGGTACAAAAGTCACTCAACCATCAGAGTTATGTTTACATAATTATTATTATCATATAAGTTATAATAAGTTATGTATAAGTTATACATGTAAAGTTTAAATCAACATTGAGAAATTAATATTAAAGCTTTTTTCTGATACACTTCCCGGAATATCCAATCAGATATTCTTATTTAATTTGAAATAAATTTTTATCTAAAAGTTGTTTTATTATCATTTGTACAAATTATAAACAAACAAGTTATTTATTTTTGATTTGCTTATTAGAAATTTCACACTAATTTTTCATAAGTATTTTTGAATAAACAAGACGAATATTAATAATTTTTCATTTATAATCAAACATTAATTAAATTATCATTTGCTTGCGTCGCAAAAATTCAACCGGTACCTGTGTACTCTCACTTGTTTTAAGCTTATCACTTGCAGCACGGTCAGTTCTAGCCAACTCGCACTGGTATAATGTCAAGGCCGCCAACATTTTAATATCTCGCATAACGTCTGACCTCTTAATTAAATCCTCCAATACTTGTAGCCCACCCTCCTTTTCCAACATAGGACAGTATTGTGAACCTAAATGTAACAGGATCAAAAAGAATTATAATTTACAAACTTAATTTCCACCAAGGCAAGACATTAATACAAAATATTTTTGCATACTTTCAACCCTGGTACAGTTAGCCAATCTCCAAACTGGTAATATATAGCAATCTGCAGGAATATTCGGTTTTATTAATTTTATTAGAGGTGCCAGGGAGCTACAATAAAAATAATATTTAAGGATTATATAGTTATATTAACATTCAGTCATTTAATTTAATTTTACTTAAATTGGAAACATAAATCGAAATTAACTTTCCAAGCAGATATTTCTGTTTTTATTTTACCAAGAACAAAATCACGTTTACATTCTTCTGATAAATCTTCAGGCCATTGGGTAATATCAATTGCAGCTATTATAAATAAACAATATTAATTAATATACTACAATAATTAGTATACAATATATAATACATTACCTATATTTGTTAGTATATCCGCTACAAACCCACATATGGTATAACCGTAAGCCTGTTGATTTAAATGTTTTACCATTCGTTGAATGTAATCTTTAGCAATGAGTTTCCCATTAACCAGGTCACATTCAGAAACATTTGATAAAGTTCCAAAAATAAAAAATAATAAATCTACACATATGAAACGGTACATAAAATTACTCCTTCAAATTTCGAGTAATAAAATTACTGCATGTATTATTTTGTACAAGCTAGGTAAATTATACCTTTATCGTCTGGAAACAAATCAATACATTTAATAAAACGCGCCATGCCACTATTTTCCATAAACTGTTCGCATGAGTTGCTAGAATTTTCATCTATGTACAAATGAAATAATAATTATAGAATTATATACTATACAGTGTGTTTCACCATGAACCGCTGCCTTTTTATTTCAATATCTCAAAAACTAAATTAGATAGCAGGGTACTCTCGACGGTTTCTAAAACTAGAA